CCTATGCAGAACCATCGCCAATACCAGGTACGTGCCCTCACATCATCATCATCATCATCCTTCTCTCTCCCCCTTGACTCTCTCCCACGTCTCCCTTTGTTGTACACCCGAAGACCACCCCTTCGCCTCACTGTACATCCAAGCCCTGCCAGCTATGGAGGCTGGGCTATGGCGCTGGCCTCAGCAGCGCCCTGCTCCCTGCACGACCGCACGTGCCTGCATCTCGCCGCTCAGCGCTAGCAGCAGCCCACGAGCTTCAGCTCCAGCAGCGCTGCCACCAGCATGCGAGTGCCCGAACATCTGGCCAGGCAGAGAGCTCTTTCCTATATGGAAAGAGCCTGCCTCGTTCGGCAGCCTGGCTGGAGTGGCCTGGGCCCAGAAGCTTCCGGTAGGCCCCAGGATGCTGCGCCTCTGGTGCAGCTACTGGGCCTCATTCGGTTGGGCCTGCCAACTGTCTGTGTATGAGGCTGCGAATCTCGCCCAGGGCCTGTGCTTTCAGAAAGGCCTAGAAGGCCTGGGAATCTCCACGCTGCTCGGCCTGTGTTTCCCTTCAACCAACTGGCGCGACAAAACTGCCTGGACTCCAAATGCGAAATTGACAGCCAAGGGCCTCTCGTGATTTGTTAGGCCCGCCTTCACTTAGGGCGGGCACATATGCTTCAAGGGGCCCCTTAGGCCTGCCGAGGACCCATATCCTCGCAGAGGGAAGGATCCCCCCAAAAAMGAATTTAAACTGGCCTCAGGCCAGGACTGCGCTCGGCCTGAGCAGTCAGAATCCGGTCTTACCTTCCATTTCGGTGGTGGGTCAGCCAGGGGTGTTTGGGGGGTATAAAGTTACTCTAGAGTCTRGACGGTGACTAGAGAGGYATATCTTACCTCATTTCTCCTCATTTATTTTTATCTTAAAATTAATCAGGAACTTCGCAGGGACCCTCAGCCAAAAGTTGCTTGTAGCCTTGTACTGCAATTTTACACAACATATTGTTTTCCCATATTTTTTATTTATTTATTTTCTTTTAATATTATGCGCTGGGGCTGCCCGGACCCGGGCCGGACCCTGCCCAGACCGGGCAGCCCGGGGGGTTACTCGGGCGACCGTCCCCCAGCCGGGACGCCTGGGGACCAGCCTAGTAAATAATAATAAAAATGTTGAATGGCCGAACCACAATCAATGCCTGAATCCCTCTTCTACTGCAGGCATAACACGAGGTCCACCATAGGCATGGCCATCCTCCTCCTTCTTTCTCATGTAGGCCGAGGCTATGGTTAACTACCAGGGCCCTGCCCTGCAGTGCAAAGGACAACACAACGCAGCTATGGCCTCTCCTCTCAGGCCGCCATGCCCGACTCTGCCTCAAAGCTTCCTGATGGAGCTCTAACCCAACTGGGGCCTTACAGATGCAGTGTCTACCAAGGTGATGAAGATGACGTCCACAATAGCCAGATTAGCACCTCTGGCGCTCTCCCTTCCCAGTCATCTTCTTCCTCCTTCTCCAGCTCGTGCKCCTACACCATAGCCGAGGTGGCGAGCTGGACGCTCCTTCCTTCCCAGCAGCGCTTCTCCAGCCAGTGCTCCAACCAGTGTGTCACCAAACTTGCGCACTGATAATGAGGAGGAGCACCTCACTCCTCCTGGAGATATAGCGGCCTGCTTGCCTCTTGGCGAGTGACTTCCTAGGCCGCGCGGCCTCCAAGCAACCAGTAACTCCTCCYGTTCGGAGGGAAACRTCATTGCAGACTCTGATATTGCCCGTACAGGCCCTAGACTCAGACTACTTGGACTGGTACCTGCCTAGACCTAGCCTACAACTACTSGGCCTCTAAAAATGCCAACTTTKTCTTCTTCTGCTCGGCCTCGAGTACCAGACACATCTACTTGGTGTACCAGCCTACCTGCTACTTGAGTGTTTTTCCGCTGCTCTAAATGTCACTGGCCTCTTTCCRGCCACTTGAGTGTTTTCCCYGCWGCAACCCTCAAASTCACAGCCACAGGTAAGTACTCAGACTTTCAGACAGGCACGCAGACCAGCAAGCACACACACACACACACTTAGCAAACTCAGCAACAAGCGGGAATCTCAGCAAGGCATACATTCCATTGACAAAACTCAGAAATCAGCTGTGTGTCTAGTGCGTGTTTGGCAGGTCCTTACATGGCGGTGTATCTTTCCATGTTCTGGTGGAGGATTCGTTCTCATTCTGCACATTTGGTGAGTAGTGGAGTGAGGCCCTGTTGCACATGATTCGAACGGGGAACAAGGGGCGGTAGCAGCACATGAGCTGTCGGTAGGGAGTGCACAAGTCGACAAAATGACCACAGTGACTCCGGAAAATGACCACACTACAAGCAAGCAAAAAACAAAAGCAGTCCAGACTAGAAGCCAGGTTACCGTAATCAGCCATCCACTTGCACACAAAGTCTCCCAACATGAAACAAGGAAGATCCGTCCACGCATTTTGCTGGCCCAGCAGCCAGCTGCCTGGCACGCAACTGAGAGAGTTAAATAGAGCTGCACCTATCTCGCAAACATACAKTCTGAACTGAATCCACACGGACTATGCAAAGACACAGAAGAAACATTGCAGCAAAAGAGACGGAATGGGAATGGTTAACTGTGAACCACTGAGCTGTGCTCAGAAATCAGACAACAAGTGACAGTCGTAACCACACCAGCCAATCGCCCGCAGCGTCTATCAGATTTGATGATACTCTCTCTCTCTCTCTCTCTCTCTCTCTCTCTCTCTCTCTCTCTCTCTCTCTCTCTCTCTCTCTCTCTCTCTCTCTCTCT